GGTATTTCTATGAAGAGGACGTCCGGTAGATTTTACTGTGGTGTTGGTTAGAAGACGACACTTCAAGCTGTTCTGGAGTACTCTTGATTCTTTGAAGAACAGGGTGGCTAGTCATGGGGCGGGTCGGCACCTATATAATACGCTTCTTTCGCACTCAACCAGGGCACGTGCCATGCTTGCTATAGGCTATTCCTACCCCAGACAGATAGCCTACGCCTCTCAATAGCTGCACAATCATGCCTAGACGGTCAGTACATGTATCTCCAATCTGTCTGTCTGTCTGTCTGTCCACTGTCCAATAAGAACGTATAGATTCATGCCCAGCATGCTGCACTGGAGCGGATTGCCCTTGTTCGAATCCTCAATTAATGTGGCAATTTGTACCTCAGATGCTTTGAATTTGGCTCTCCACTCTTTGAATTAGTGCGGACCTATCTGAGATGGACTTAAATTCGGAGGTCCGGCCTCCTAATTTGCCTTACTGTGCTGAAAGGGGCGTGAAACCAATACAAAGACATTGTATTCTAGTTTGGATGTGGGCTCCTGTATCACGTCTGGTTTGCGTTGAGCGTAACTGTAAATGTATCAATTCATGAATATGTCTCTGTTGTACTGTTCCTTCCTTCGGGATGGCCACAAATAGTTCTGTAACCATGATCAACAAATTATTTTGGACATTGGGAAATGAATATCCCAGTCTCATGGGCCGGTTTGCACCAGTAAACTCTAGACTGTGTGCCAATCAAACATTTCACTGGGGAAACGAAGAGGATTTCAAAACAAGGCGGGCTTTCCAACAAAATTGATCATGGCTGAAAAAACCACACACCAAATAACCCTCTTGTGATAGCTGGGATTAAAGCCATTCACGTCGTAAACAGAATGAGCCAAAACCTCGCGAGAGATGTAGAGATACACAATTCATTCGTTCCATTCACATACAAAGCAAGGAGTAGTTCAACTATTATTTATAGCTTTTATTATTCACTTCAAGAGATGCCTCTGAAAATCTATTTTCCCCGGACTGTGCTTCGGTGTTGCACCCAATAGATCTAGACGTGAATTCGCCACTACCCATAATCAGAGAAAGTCTTTATCAAGTACATTTCTATCAAACTACTGGTATGCTGTAATCCCTTTCCAGTGTTGACCTTGACAGTAAGACCTGCCTCTTAGATACATAATGTAATGTGAATTGTGTCGATGACAATATTTCGTTTATTACATTACACAGCTATACACTTCGGCCACCCTCATGTCTCTTGCCATTAACGGAAGTAGGAGCCAAAAAGCCTTTTAAGATAGTTTATATTTTGATAGTTAGGATTCTGATTTTGCGATTCAAGTTTCACGCAAAAGGTGTTTGTGTGTGTGTGTGTGTGTGTGTGTGTGTGTGTGTTAGTG